TCTTCTGCCCTTTGGGATTTCTCTGCAGCCCATGCTCTGAGCCCAGTTCACAGCCCCTTTCTGGGCTACCTTTAAGACTCTCTTTCTCTGCTCTAGGCTGCCTGCTCCCTGTGGTTCCAAGTAAAGTCCAGACTGAACTCACTTTTAGTTCTTTCATTAGGTCCAAGTGTCCATTAAGGTATCACCTGACCTTCTTTAGTCCTGTGCCCTCAGGCTGGGAAGCAGCTAATTAATTATTGTTAGGTGTGCCTGGCCCCAACTCCCCTTAAAGGGGATAGTGACACTGTGATGACAATCTTACAAAAAGCTATATAGGCAGACGTTTTTAAAAATTACTTGACAGATGGCCTTATTTGGTAGCGGCATGGCACTCTGGAAACCTCGCTGAGAATGAAATCAGAAAACATAAATCTTTGCTTTTCATTTGTTCTGAACAAATTATTGTAGGGAGGTGCAGAAGGGTATGATATGGCCCTTTATATGTGTGGGGAGAAGGAGAAATATTTTAATAACTCTAGGAAAAGATAGGGAGAGTCACTGATGTGGGATTTGAAGGCAAACTACAGATAAAGTAACACTGGAAGCTTGGAACAAATATGAAAAAAAATTATAGCAAACAATTATCAATGAAATGCTGAGAAATGTTCATTATAAAGCTTTTTTTACCTTTTTACTAGGATTAACTGTCAAACTGTTTAAAAATATGATTGGAAAAAAATGGAATAGCACAAGTGTTTATTCATTCATGCTTCCTTTGTGTATCAGATTAATCACGAAGGACAATGGAAAGAATCTAAAAAATGCTGGTTTTATAAGTTAGTCAGAAATGTGAAAAATTATAGACTATGTAAACCAATATGAATCTCTGACGCATATTAAAATAGCTATAATTTCACAGGCATTATGTAAGACATTAAAAAAATACAGATACCACATATATCACAGGAAATGATTCTTCTGAAAAATTATGCTGCAAGTTTAAAATACCCACCCTGGAACAGACAAGATCAAAAGAAAAAATGAATCATCTGTATTTTGGGTTGCCAAATACCACAATGTCACTAGCACCTTCAGCTGAGTGTCGGTGCTCTCAGGAAGCTACTGTACGCCTTTATAAAGTAATGTTAGTGATTCTTCCCTTAGAAATGTAGTAATCATAAAAACATACCATGTGTATATGTGGCAAATGGTATAAAACAAGACTGGCCTTTTGCGCCACATAGTAGTGAGATGGTGAGGGCATTTTATTTATTTATTTTTAGATACTGCATCATCATGGCAAATGAACTGGTTAGGTAATGTCTACAACAAAGTCTACACACCTCCTTCCTTTAGGTAATGAAGTATACACACTCTAAGGGCAAACTCAGACTTGGTGTATGTGGGTGCAACTCCATTGACTTCAATGAAGTTATACCATGTCTGAATATGGCTTAAAATCGCTATTCAGCAGTACTGGCAATTTTCTTGTAATCTGTGCTCTAGCTTTATTAATGTACAGACCGCTCTTTCTTGGAGCCTTAGACCAATACTCCTGGCCTAATCAAAGGAGAGGAAACATTATTAAACCTATTCCTATAAGTGCACTGAATACTAAAGGCTATAGTTATACACAGGGAAAAATGCCTCCCAGACTGTGTAATATTCTGTAGCACTGCTATAAACCATACTGAATTCCTCGTGAAAAAAGAATGCTGAAGTCATTATAATTATCTGATCAATTTTCATTACTGCCATGCTGTCCTCTTCCCTCTTAAAGACTTTAAGGGCTTACTTCTCATTTACACTAGGGCTACTTGACACTGCTCTAGCAGCATAAAGTGGCCATAAAGTGGGAGTAAATTTTGTTTATGCCCACTTTAAGGACACTTTACAGTCTCATGGTGCATCTACACTAGTAAAAGAGGTGTATTTTTCAGCATGTGGTAGCTAATGTGGACAAAGTGCTTGACAGTTTTCATGTCAGCAGGTCAAAGTGAACACTAGGGGGAGCTTAGGGTGATATAAAGGAGCAGTAAAGTAAATGAGAATCAGGACATCAAAGTCTCAAAACAATTAACCTTATCTTTATCCTCTGAAAGTAACCAACATGTTCTCTCTGTTTGGAACTGCTTCAAAAAACAGTGATAGAATCTAAATGCCACGCTAAACTCCCAGAGCAGAACTATATTCAAACTTTTTCTCATTGTTACTGTAGTTGGAAATAGCATACAAAATGCCTGTGGAAAATATAATCTTGTCTGGACGTGACCCTTTGCGAGAGGCTTCTATATGCAAGATCCAGGAGCTGATCTAGAAACTTGCATTGGGATCCTGGGTGGGGTGGGGGTAGCAGCATGCACATAAACATTATGTAAATGAGCTATGAAAATTAACTGAGTTTAAGTAGCACAGCATGATACCTATCACTAACATCTAATTAATGCAAAGATTAATTAAATTCATGCACTAAGATTTCATTAGTGTGCTGTTTACGCCCTCTTTTTAGATCATTAACGAAGGTGTTAAATGAGGATTGGCCTAACACTGATCCCCTGCAGTACCCAACTAGATACACTCCAGTTTAACATTAGCCTTTGCTTATGGTCGTTTAGCCAGTTTTCGTTACACATGAGAGTGTTCTTAACACTTACAATGTTAACAAGTATTACAGATTATTAGCAATAAAAATGATAAACAAATCAATGTTTTAAGCTGGAAACTCACTGAGATGGAGATTTTAGTTCCCTGTGCCACTCTTAAGAGTCCGGTTAACATCCTGTTTTTCAATGGTTGATTGCCAAAATTACTGTACATAACCATCTGCAATATTAAAAATATTAGAGTTTTGGCCTGACCATAAAAGTGTCCATTGTATTAAGATGATGGCAGTTTCTCAAAGAGGCAGACAAAGTTCCACCCAGCAAGCCTTTAATCTATTTTATATTTACACAGAACTTGCCATTCTTCAGTATGTCAGAACAAGAAAAGGATTGTGATCTCCCATGCCTAGAGTTGGCAAAAAAAGAAAAATGAAATGCCACTATAGACCACTCTGTTCTACTGCAGTTACACAGAAGTGATGAAAAATAATAATTAAAAAACAACAACCCTACAGCAGACAGGGGTTTACTATAGTTACATGCTGCAGAGTTTGCATGTTGGGTGGTTCTTTTTCTGCAAGATAACATAGTTTCTCCCCCAAGACTTGGGTTTTGAATGCAATCCAAATCCTCAATCTGATTTTACATGACTGTGGTCTAATTCTGATTTGTATTTGTCACCACTTTCAGTAGCAGACATTAATTCAGCTGTTTGCTTGGAGACTGGAGAGGGAGATTAAAAGGACTAAATCTGTCAAAGGTAAAAGTACCTGCAGCTGTCTGAGATAATCATAATATTCAAGTGTTGCGATTAAATAGCAGATGATGGTTACAACCGATGGAAAGAGCATACAGTGGTTGCCAGTGAAATCTTTGCATTGTAAACTTCTCCAACAAACACTTTGTCACTTTCTTCCATTCTGCCTCCTTATGCATGGAAAAAGTGTCCTCCTGGAACTAATTAGTAAGGTCACTACCCTTTCAAATCCCTCATTAAGACCCACCTCTGCTGCAATACCTGCAGTACCTACAAGACTCCATGCCACTAACGGCATGTTACATTGGTAAAGAAAGGATAAATGTAAGTTGTGCACATCACTAGTCTATGAACACCAAATGATGATCTTACTTTTACCTTCATCCCTTCTTCCCTCCTATTGTTTGTTATGCTCACTTTTTGCATCTTGCTTCAAATTAGAATGTAAACTCTTTGGGACTGGGACCAGGTTTCTAAAGCAATGGGCCTCTGATCCTGATTGGAGCTATTGTAACATCTACTGTACAAATGAATAATAATAATCCATTTACAACTCTGTAGGGGAAAACTAATGTTAAGTGCACCGGGAAAGAGCCTATGCAGATCATGAGGACAGGTGAAATGTGCTGTCTGTGAGAAATGGCACTAAAAAAGTAAGCAGTTGTACTTTGTATAACTGTATTTTCCAAACGATTAAGATGTAGCCCCATGGAATCCAAATTGGAGCTAACAAATACATGAATTACTGTGTCTGGGGGGCCATATGCAAAGAAGAAGATTGTAAACTGTTGACCTGGAGGGCAGGGATCAGCATTCATGTCGCATTCCCTGTCTATACCCGGCCTGGCATAGCTAGCTAATGATCCAACCAGCGGACCAAATTCAGTGATGAATCCTGGTCACAAGACACATTGTGAATATGCTAAGAAGACTGTTGACTTGGCACAGGTGGTAAAAAGTGCTCCAACCACTGATGCTATTGAATCCTTCTGATGACTCAGAAAAAAACCCCGGTATTGTGACCTGAGTAACAAAAGTGGGCAGTCAAAACTGAATGAGCCAGTTTCATCTACACCATTCCTTTTGACTATTTCCATTAGCTAACCAGCATTATTTTGACCCACTAGAATCTGTAACTTCAGCACCAGTGATGGAGAATCCACCATGATCCTTGGTAAGTAGTTCCAACAGTTAATTATTCTCACTGTTCAAAATGTACACCTTATTTCCAGCTTGAATTTGTCTAGCTTCAACTTCTAGCCATTGGATCGAGTTACACCTTTCTCTGCTAGACAGAAAACCCCATTATTAAATATTTGTTCCCCATAAGGTACTTATAAACTGTAATCAAGTCATCCCTTAACTTTCTTTTTGTTAAGCTAAATAGATATTGTGATAGACTCATGGAGTTCAAAGGAATGTTTTCTAAAATCCTTTAATCATTCTTGTGGCTCTTCTGTGAATCCTCTCCAATTTATCAACATCTTTCTTAAATCACGGGCACCAGGACTGGACACTATATTCCAGCAGCAGTTACACCAGTGCCAAGTACAGAGATAAAATAAAGTTTAGCTAGATTTATTTAAAAACAAAAATAGGTAAAAAACACCCCCAAAACTAAGCAAAATGAAAAAAGAAATAATTTGGGGCCAAACAAAATATTTTGTTCAATCTGAAACTTGTTTTTTCCCCTTTTTATTTGTTTCAAACAAACAAATTTTTTCCACTTCAGGTGAACTTGGAATGAAATTATATTTGGATTTTTCAGTTCACACTCAGCTCTACTTATAGTAAAGTCAAATTAATTAATTTCAATGGCAAAATATGTCTATTTACAATTAAAATTGCACTGAATAAATGTCCAAGATTCCCCACCGAGGCACTAACTTGTTATGTGAGATATCACTCATCATTTATTTACATTCATAATTCTGAGCAACATTCTCATTTTTTGTTAATTGATTCTGAAATCTTACAAACTAAGGCCCCAATTCTACAATCAATAGCGCACAGGCACAGCAGTCCATCTTCATGCTCTCCACTGCAGGGTCAGAGCCTAAAGGCCTGATCCAAAGCAAACTGAAGTATATGGGCAAACTTTCATTGACTTCAAATAGGCTTTGAATCAGGCGCTTTAAGGGCACCATCTTGCATTCCCTACTCAGGTAGGGCTTCCACTGTGGTCAGTGGGAATTCTACCAGAGTAAGAAGTGCAGCATTTCACCCTAAATATTTAAATGTACCCTTTCCTATAATTGAAGTCAATTACCGAAGATCCACTTTAATGAGAAAAAGTGATTTTTGGAATCACAGTATCTCTCAAGAACAGAAATGAGAAATATTCACCACAGATGAGTTTTTACAATACAAGTGACTTCTAGACTTTTTTGTCTCAGTGTAAAAAGATGTGGTGTTTGGTTTTATTTTTTTTAAAACACATTCCTCTTCCAATGCTGGAGAATGATCTTCAGAAACAATTTTTAAAAAAATGTTCAGCAGCATTCTTATGACTCAGTATTGACAGTAGTGATAAATAAGACACATGTGATGATAAGATTCTACGGCCCCCAGGGCAGCAATGCATTGATCATGTACCAGGGGGATATAGATAGACTTTCATATGCGGTTAAATGCCTTGCTGAATCTGGGGCCAAATCACAGCCTTTTTCTGTGTCAAAAATACTAATAAATTATATGAACACATGCTGATATCTCTTGTAAACAGCCATAACAAGGCAATGTTATTATCACCACTGCATTTGCCTACGATATCACTAATAGGCCACTGAAGGCTTTAAAGATGACAACATGTGCACAGTTTAATATTGAGAATTTCTTCCAATTATTTTCTTATTTCTAATATTGCAAACCAGTAATAATAATTTTAAAAAATCAAATGAAGTCACTTGCGGATAGTTTCTACTAAACATTGTTTTAGATCAGTCTTGACAAATGATAGAGTCCCATATTTTAAAAAGAAGAGAGATTTTGTAATTTGCAGCATACAGATTTGTAGCATCATGAATCACATGTTTTCACTGCTGTTTAGATTTTCAGTTTCTCTCTCTTGCTCTGAAGTGATTGGTTCTTCTTTTAATAAAGTGCTTAATTGCTTCTGTGCACATGAGAGGAATAGTTCCAAACTACACAGGCTACGTTGGCGGACAACTTGATCGAGCTGTTGGAAAAAACAAGAAAAAATTAATTAGCAAAAAAACTAGAAATAAATACCAAATTGTAAATAAAACCATTTTGAAATTAAATGCATTGAGTACATGCAGGATTTTAATGATACAATGAAATTTAATCACATGTCCATATATCTGATTTTCCTCTAACTAAAATGAATAAATGGCTACCCATAGTTATTCAACAGCTGTCGGTGCTTGTTAGATAATATTAAAATGTCCAGATTATTAAATACTTTGAGGAATCTTACACAAACATAGTACTGTAAATGCTAGATGATTAGTGTCTTGGTCTGGGCACTTTTAAGTTGTCAGCCTATCCACAGGGTAAACACAACAATATTACTGGGTTTAGTCCCTTGTAATAGAACATCCCGTCTTTGACAGACCTCCAACACATCACTTTTTTCCCCTTTCCCATGCACTGTTAGCAGTTCTTAAAAAGATAATAATCAATGATGCATTCTCTGAAGTGACTAGTCAGTATTTCCTCCAAAAGAACAATCAAATTCCAGCCAAATTACATAACAGTAAAGATTTTTTTTTACAGTACAGTAGTCAGATAGTTTTAAATATTAAATACTGCTTAAACAATCTGTAAAAGTGTTACGAAAGTTTATTGCATCCTGAATGAATTCTGAAAGAAACAGGGGTTACAAAACTACAACCAAATAGTTCTGATATTCCAGCCGCTGCTACCCCCGGGGCTCCGAAAGCGGGGCTCGGGTGGCGATTTAAAGGGCCCGGGCTCCCCGCAGCGGCCGGAACCCAGAGCTCTTTAAATCACTGCTGGAGCCCTGCTGCCACTACCCCGATATAACGGGGTTTCACCTATAGTTAAAGAAGAAGAAAAGGGTGGGAGGAGCAGGAACTAACAGAAAGATGTGAAATAAAGCATCACCATTTATATCACTGTATAATTTTCCCCTTAATATACAGTTTTAGCCATTCTACTTACCGAATCCACTAAAATTATTATTTGGGTTGTTTGTGTAAAATAATTTCTTTATAGTTATTGCAAAGAGGTGAAGGACGTTCCAGACAATATCCAAACTGCTGATCTGGGTTTGACGGTTAAAACCACTTGACCCAGCAACAATTACACAGTTTCTTAAAGATGAAAGGCTTGTTCTAATGATCCCAGAGTCTTTGAAAATTCCCACTGGTTTTGATATAAAAGACACCACTTCTACAACAAATTGAACACTACATCTAAATGCAACTGAAACCACCTGCAAACATTTCACTTTGAATTTGCTTGATGATGTATTTTTGTTGGTCAACAGAGCAAAAGTGGTACTAAACATTTTTTATTCACTCACTGTCTCTATTCTGCATATTGCTGGATTCCCCTCCATCCAGGCTGTGGGGAACTCAATAATTCATTCCACTGAGGGCAGGGCCCGCTGTGATAAAGAGGGTGGGGCAAAATGACAGGATTTGCCCCACAGTGTTGCATTTGCCAGGACATAAATGAATGACACAGTAACATGGTTTACATAAATATTTTTGGAACTTCTGAATGTTATATTATTAGTGAACAAAATGAATAGCAGAAGCCCTATCATTTATATCTTATTTTTTTTAATATGAAGCAACTAATATAATAGCAGAGCAATGCTTTCAACACAACCTTCTTTTGGGCAGCCATATTTCAATTGAATTTATGTATAATAAACTCCTGGGGCTAGAGTGAGAAGTAGTGGTATAAGTCTAATGAGACGTGTAAAGTTATGCCACTCAAGAGAAGTAGGTAATGAAATTCAGAAGAAATCTAATTTTGTACCACATCTGGCAAACTGTGGTGCACCAGTGAGTAAGCAAGGTTTTGAACTGTAATCAGCTTTCTAACAGTCATGCAGACTGCTCATACAGCTGTAATACTAGCAAAATACCAATATGAGGCCATGTGGCCCTGGCAGGCCTTAAGTGGTTAGCGTCTGCAAATGGCCACGGTTTATGAAAATATATTATATGCACCACACATCTAGCATTCATGGATTTAATTATAGCTTTCAACAAAAACCTCAGATCCTGTGGTATGTTTCAGACTATGTATTTAGACAGTTTGCTACCCATAAGTTGCCATAATGCTATCACAAATGTTTGCATGAGTGCTATATTCTAATAGATAACAGCTTTTCTATTTTAATACATAGTGCTATGCCAGCCCAATGGTACCGCCTAACTTGTCTTTGAAAAATGCCTTTATGATTTAGTTACAATTTTGACTGAATAAACTATGATAAATATACAGGTTGTCATGAATCTGTTCACTGATATTCCTTCTACTCTCTTGCAATGCAAACGAGACTCTTGTTGAAATACTGTTTCCCACAGTGTGACTTTCAGCAGCTCTCAATGTCTCTCATAGCCCACCCAAACTACATCCCTTTTTCCTAGAAGCTACGCCCTCCTCAGTCTCTCCACCAGTATTGTACAACAGCTTCTACGTAATTCCTCTCATTCGGCTGCATCATGCACGTCTCTAGCTACAAAGGAACTTTTTGCCATTCTCACTAGTAGTGCAGATGCCATTGCGCCACATATTTTATATAGTTTGATAACACCTGTTACAGACAAGCCATCGGAGGTGTGCATGTGGGTGGGTGGTGGGCCTAGCCCAGAGCAACATAATCCCCAAAGCAGCAGTGGTTAGTGGGGGCAGGGTAGACCAGGGAGCAATATGAAGGCAAGAGCTCTCACAGCTCATTCCTCTGTGGATCTGGAGGTGTCCTTTTGGTAGTCTCTATAGTTGGAACGTCTTGCCCTCCCCCTCCTTCTGAAGTCTTCCCCAAGCCTTCAAGAAGATGATTTGTAGAGCTCTCTTCATGGGGAAACTTGCAGTAGTTTTCTGTGCCTCTTATCTTCTCCCTTGGTTTCTCCATAGGAAGGGGAGATATAGCTCAACTTACATAGGATCATGTGGTATGGATAGCAAAGAACATTTGGGACCCATTTCTCTAGAAATATCACTAGGTCCTCATATTCTGCTCCCTCTGGTAGACATATCAGTTAGATAAGCTTAGCATGAAACTCATTTTTAACAGTTTTTCCTTTACTCCACTTATGGCCTATCCTTTAATAAGGTATTCAGCTAAACTCCCCCCCCGCATCTTTTCTTTCAGCTTGATTGTGCAGATTTTTTTTCATGTAAACCAAAGCAGCCCTCCAGATGTGTGATCTGTGACACAATGGTGTTACCTTTCTTATCCAAGGCAGCAATCTCAAACAGTGTACTTGAAAATGTATTTATTTCACAAAGTATTAATGTAAATACTTCCTGCATGGAGTGGTTTGGGTGTATCTGAACAAACTCAGAATTCTTTGGCTTTTGAGATAGAGGCTTTGATTTTAAGAGTCTCAGGTGAATTAGCCATATGTTTGGAGATTTTTTTTGTTGGGTTCAATTGGTTAGTTATTCACCATTTTTCATAAGGAAAGTTTATTGCTTGTTAAAAGTTTTAAAGTTTATGTAAACTGAGTAAAATAAGAGATCAGAAACTCAGTTGTCTCCTGTCTGCTCATTTTATATATTAGCTTTGCCTTCCCATTAAACATTATATTTTTAAACTCTTTCATGCTACAGTAAATGACAAAGCACTGTGTATAAACACTTAACTTCCTCTTATAACATGAGAAGCATAATGAAATGACGCTGGCTTTGAAAATGGTATATATTTCAAGTACATTCAAGAGGAGAATATTTCCTTTAATGTAGAAATAGGCCAGGAAGAAAAAAAAACAAGCAGCTTTGTTACGCAATATATTGCTTAATGAAATGTTATCCACAGTCAAACAAATTTTAATAAATAGTGCTTTCAACATCACTGCGCCTCTGCTAACGAAATATATATGAAATGTGAAAATATGTAAGTAGATCATTTTGAATGTTGTTTTTCTAAATAGTCTTTCCTCTATATTTTTAGATTATGTTCACTTCATGGAATGATCTCATTATTTAAATAAAAATAAATGGACATCTGGCAAATTCACAGACTGAATGTGACTCATATGCAAATATGATCAGTATGAATAACACCTATTTGGGCTTGAGCATTCACCCACCCAAGAAAGCCCCAGAGTTCTAATTCTACAGAAACTGAAAAATACATGAGCTTGATGATCTGGAACTACAACAGCTTGGAGAGATTTTTCCACCCATTGCCACCATGGTTAATACTGAGGAACATTTTATCTTCTGCTTACAACTGAAAACTATCAGGCACAAAGTCTCCTGGTTCTGTACAGTGCTGCCTTCTTTTAACATAGAGCTATTAGGTACTGTTTTCACAAAATCTCTCTCACACTCCTTGCATTATTGTTTTGTCTGAGCACTTTTTTTTTTGACAGTCACCAGCACCATTTTAATTGTAGAAAGTTCTTTTTTCTTGAACTTCTGTGACTATGAGACAATCACTTAAGAGCTAAATTCTTCTCTCTGATGTGCAAACGTGGCACTCTTTGAGAATTTGGCTGTAATTGTTAATAGCCATAGCAACATTGTTTCCTGACTCATCAGGTGCCATTTGCCATTGGAGTTTCCACAACAAACCACAGCCCTTCAGTTTCCAAAAATTAGCTGACTCTAATAGCACATTCCAAAAACATTCAGCTGCTGTTTTTTTCCTTCTGTTTTAACCTTCACCCCAACTTTGAGGCCCCAATATGATTCCACAGCCTGCTGGCCAAAGATGACTGGATGGAACTCCCTGTGGAGACATCTACATCACTCTTTGACCACACACAAGGGTTTGCTTTTGAGCAATGCGAGGCATGCCCAGAGGATGAGCATGATGCCTCGGCAGAAATCCTGGCCTTGGAACCAAGCAATTGAGTTGGGAAATCAAACCTGGGGCCCACAGATGGCAGCATATAATACTGCCACTAAATGATTGTTCTGGCTCCAGCTGCTCTATTTTATTTGGTGTTGATCCATCTTACTATTTTGCATCACTTAAAATACATAGCTTAAACCAAACTCTAAAAT